TCATCTGTGGAGTCACACAACACACGCCCAGTGTTGTCTGCACCTGTCACACTGTCGCTGTGGCCTTGCCTCTGATTTATTTTATTAATAAAACCAATAACAACTACAAATGCCTGCTAATTTAGTCTATCTTTTGGGTCACCTTGACATCAAAGACACGAAATCTGTGCAAGTTTGGGTGATTTTACTGTTTTGTGTGCACTTTTTTAATCAAAAACAAACAAAAAAAGGGTTGAAATGATGCAATATCTGAACTGATACAATAACTCTTGAGCAAACACACAAGGCCTTGAGTTACGAATGCGAAGATAAAATTGGTACTATTCCTGATAGAGTAAGGAGCATCGCATATTTTATCCAGTTAGGTTTATTTTGTGATGATTTACACAGAACAGTCATAAGAAAATACAACATACTTTTAAAGCTTTACATAAATATAGATTTTTAGAAGGTCATGATAATGCAGTAGCTACTTCAGATTGCAATAATCCCGTGTTTCTACATATTCAGAACCAATATATCTACTTTTTAATAAAATACATTTTTAGACCCATTCCAATCTAAGGCACTCTGAATGAAAGCCCTTTGTCACCAGCACCAAGAGCCACAGCGGTGAATGCACTGAAACACATACTTTATAATCCTTAAAAAAGGCCTTACTTCCTCTTGGAGGAAGTCTGCACAACTTAAGTAACAGTTCTATAATAATTACTGTTTGATTGATTGATTGATTTATTGTTATTTATTTGAGCATTTACAAACATATTTTTCATTGTTACAAGGTTACACTGTTATAAAGTGGCTCAAAAGGGGGTAGGCTGAAGCAAGAAAGCTTATTAGTGCCCACCCCCTGTTCCAAGTGATCACTTTAAGCTGCAGACAATAACCGTGAACACAGGCATCATACAGTTTACATACAATAAACACGAGTTCCTGAGTTACCCAGGCACATGCACATCAGAGGGTGCATGGGCCTGTTTACTTACAAGCAATTAGTGAATGATCATTTCCATACATAGGCACACCCAAGGCTCTGTGGATGTGCTCATCCATGATCACAATCAATTCTACGATTACAGTTGTCCACATTAACCAAACACACGTCAGCATTGATTAGAAAAGCATTCATGATTATACAATATATCACAAGTTTTTCACACGACTTCCGAGGTAAAATAATCATTATTATTATTTATGCGGGTTTATATATTCATATATACATATACACATACACACATTATATATATATATATATATATATATATATATATATATATATACATATATACATACACATACACACACATATATATATATATATATATTTTTTTTTTTTTTTTTCTTCATTTCGTATGATAACCATATACCATCATTACCTAAGAATACCGATCACCAATCTTTTGACTGATCATGATTTCATTATTATTTGCATTACATTTGTCATAATTTTTCTTTGTCAACAATACATAATCATGATTATAAGTCCCCTTACCATCGTTCCCATTTTAGAATCACATAATTTATTTGCACTACACATTTTTGTAGAATGTCCCGTCATTCTCGATTCACTATAAAATATTGGTTGTGACTGTAGAATTACTTTTTGTTGTTTGCCTTTTTAAGTGAGATGCATTAAAAAGCAAGGGCGTGACGTGGCCAGTTGGCTGAGGGCAGAGACCCCCCATCAGCTAGCCACACCCTGCTGCCCTAACTATGTATTGTGTAAGGTTTTATGTCCTGTGCCGGGTAGTGCTTTGAATTTGAGGTTGGTGACACTAGTTCTTTCGGCAATGATGTGGTTTATCAGATTCACGATAATACTTAACAGATTACATGTCTTTAGCATATTTCTCAAGCACACTTCTCTTGTATCGTTTTTTGAATAGCTGTAAACAAGCAACATCTTTTAAGGGTTCCTCTAGATTATCCCACAAATGTACACCTCTTCGGGTAATACAGCAACTTTTTAAGGAAGAGTGAACACTTTGAACTTTGAGGTTATGAGTGCCTCTGAGGTCATATCTTCCATCTCATTTACCAAACATTTGTTGTATGTTGCTAGGGAGCTGGTTATTTACAGCTTTATATACCTGTAACAGAGTATTATATTTTATAAGATCATCAAATTTCATTGTGTTTGATTTTAAAAACAGTATATTTGTGTGGTCCCTGTAACCGACGTTATGAACGATTCTTATGGCCTTCTTTTGAAGTCTATATAAAACCTCTAAATGACTATTGAAGGTATTTCCCCAGACCTCTGAGCAATAGTTTATGTACGGTAGGATTAAGGAACAGTACAGGGTGAAGAGAGCCTTTTGGTCCAGAAAAAATCTACATTTTCCCATAATTGCCACATTTTTTGCCATTTTCCCTCGAATGCTATCCATTTGTGGTCTCCAGCTAGCCTTATGACTGAAGATCACACCTAGAAATGTATATTCCTTGACTTGTTCAACTTTAGTTTATTGATTGACTGCGGAACCTTCCGCAGTCAACCATTGGTTTTGTATTTCTTTATTCCGTCATTTTTTTTGACACGTTTCACAGCTTTCACATTTTCAACAATTTCCACAAGTTATACATCAAAACGTTCCACATGTTTGGGAGATTATTGCTATTACTTTTGGGACTTCAGCGATTTCCGGTTTTTCCGCAATCGGACAAAAATCTGCATTGAGAATTCTGCAATGCATTTTAATAGGCCCATGCATTTTAATAGGACTTCAGCTCTTTCAGACATTTCTACAGTTTCAATGATTCAACAGTTTCAAGGATTCAACAGTTTCAAGGATTTCAGCAGTTTCAAGATTTCAAGAGTTTCAAGGACTTCAACAGTTTCAAGGACTTCAGCAGTTTCAAGGACTTCAGCAGTTTCAAGGACTTCAGCAGTTTCAAGGACTTCAGTGTAATCATGCAACCTAATAGGGATTTTTCCATGTAAACCAGTATAATGCAACTTAATAGGGATTTTTCCATGTAAACCAGTATAATGCAACTTAATAGGGTTTTTTCATGTAAACCAGTATAATGCAACTTAATAGGGTTTTTTTTCATGTAAACCAGTATAATGCAACTTAATGGGGATTTTTCCATGTAAACCAGTATAATGCAACTTAATAGGGGTTTTTACATGTAAACCAGTATAATGCAACTTAATAGGGTTTTTTACATGTAAACCAGTATAATGCAACTTAATAGGGTTTTTTTTCCATGTAAACCAGTATAATGCAACTTAATAGGGTTTTTTCCATGTAAACCAGTACAATGCAACTTAATAGGGATTTTTCCATGTAAACCAGTATAATGCAACTTAATAGGGTTTTTTCATGTAAACCAGTATAATGCAACTTAATAGGGTTTTTTCCATGTAAACCAGTATTATGCAACTTAATAGGGTTTTTCCATGTAAACCAGTACAATGCAACTTAATAGGGATTTTTCCATGTAAACCAGTATAATGCAACTTAATAGGGTTTTTTTTCATGTAAACCAGTATAATGCAACTTAATGGGGATTTTTCCATGTAAACCAGTATAATGCAACTTAATAGGGGTTTTTACATGTAAACCAGTATAATGCAACTTAATAGGGTTTTTTCCATGTAAACCAGTATAATGCAACTTAATAGGGTTTTTTCCATGTAAACCAGTATAATGCAACTTAATAGGGTTTTTTCCATGTAAACCAGTACAATGCAACTTAATAGGGATTTTTCCATGTAAACCAGTATAATGCAACTTAATAGGGTTTTTTACATGTAAACCAGTATAATGCAACTTAATGGGGATTTTTCCATGTAAACCAGTATTATGCAACTTAATAGGGATTTTTCCATGTAAACCAGTATAATGCAACTTAATAGGGATTTTTCCTTGTAAACCAGTATAATGCAACTTAATAGGGTTTTTTTCATGTAAACCAGTATAATGCAACTTAATGGGGATTTTTCCATGTAAACCAGTATTATGCAACTTAATAGGGATTTTTCCATGTAAACCAGTATAATGCAACTTAATAGGGTTTTTTTCATGTAAACCAGTATAATGCAACTTAATAGGGGTTTTTCCATGTAAACCAGTATAATGCAACTTAATAGGGGTTTTTACATGTAAACCAGTATAATGCAACTTAATAAGGATTTTTACATGTAAACCACTATAATGTAACCTAATAGGGGTTTTTACATGTAAACCAGTATAAAGCAACTTAATAGGGATTTGTACATGTAAACCAGTATAATGCAACCTAATAGGGATTTTTCCATGTAAACCAGTATAATGCAACTTAATAGAGATTTTTCCATGTAAACCAGTATAATGCAACTTAATAGGGATTTTTCCATGTAAACCAGTATAATGCAACCTAATAGGGATTTTTCCATGTAAACCAGTATAATGCAACCTAATAGGGATTTTTCCATGTAAACCAGTATAATGCAACCTAATAGGTTGCATTATACCACCAGACCAAGACCCAAACGAAGACTCAGACCACCACCAGATAATGACCACAGACCAGGTTTCCTTAGTTACAGGAACCAAATTGTTTCAGCGGTGAGGGGATTTTTCAGTTTCAAGGACACTTTCAATACATTCAGTAGTTTCAAGGATTTCAACTGTTTAAGAATTTAACCAGTTTCAAGGATATCAGGAGGTTCAAGGATTTCAGGAGTTTCCACACTTTCAACAGTTTCCAGGTTTAAAAAAAGTTTCAAGGATTTCAGGAGTTTCAATGTTTAACAGTTTCAAGGATTTCAGGAGTTTAAAGGTTTCAACAATTTCAAGGACTTCAGGAGTTTCAAATATCTATCAAGTATTTTAACAGTTTCAAGGCCTTTTAAAGGATTTCAAGGATTTTTTTTAGCAGATTTCCACATTAGATCTGTTCCGCAGTCAATCGCAATGGCTTCAGCCATTGCAAGTTTCTAGTTGTCCTATACAAAGGCAGGTGCGGCTCGCCGCAAGGCGTCCTAAACGCCAGGGTGCGTCTCGCCGCATATGCGTCCCAAAACGCAGTGTAGCGTCTCCTACACAAACAGGGTCGGTCTCGCGCAGAGTTGCGACCTAAAAACAGGTGCGTCTCGTCCAGGATGCGTCCGACAAAAGCAGGTGCGGCCTCGTCGCAGTGCCATCTCAGAATTTCGGCTGCTCCTCTTACCCGCGTCCCTCACGCTGCGTTTTTCTCTATACGCCGCGTCCCTCTCGCGTGCGCCTCTTACGCCGCTCCCTACCGCTGCGTCCTTACCCGCGTCCCTCACGCTGCGTCTCTTACCCGCTCCCGTCACAGCTGCGCGTCCTTACGCCGCGTACCCTCACGCAGCGTCTCGTACCCGCGTCCCTCACGTGGCTCTCTACGCCGCGTCACCTACACGCTGCGTCTCTTACCCGCCGCTCCCTACACCCTGCAGTCTGCGTACAGCCGCACGCTAAAGCTGCGATCTCTTACGGCCGCTGTCCAGCATCTGCGATCTCTACGCCGCGTCCCTCATCGCTGCGGCCTCTTACTACCGCGTCCCCCTACCAGCCTGCGGCATTAACGCCGCGCCACTAATACTTGCTGCTAACCGGCTGGCGCCACGGCTATCCCCTACGTGCGCCAGACGCCACAACTACTCAGGTGAAGATGTACTAACAGCCCGACCCGGTCCTAGGCCGCCCCTCGCAATCACCGCCACACTTACCGGAAGAGAGCGGCTACGCAGAAGTCACGGCTTATTGACACAACACCAAGTGTTTGGCACCACCACACAAACAGTCTGTACCTACCCCCTCCCAACCCCCATATAAAAAGCCGAACCGTGCGCCCTCTCATCCCTACCTTCTTATCTTCCCCCTCCACGCGAGGAGATAGGCCATGCGGAGCGCGCACACCACGCGATATCTCTAAGCTCTCCAAAATCAGCACCATCGCAGCACCTACCATTCACAACACCCACAAACTCGCGCACGACACCGAGCGAACACGATAGCGTCGTGGAGGAACACGACGTAGTGGATGACCTCGCGCGACTTCACAGAGAAAGTTAGACCCAGAGGGGCCTACGATATGCATTGCGAGCACGGCTCACCCGCCGACATACTGCGGAGTCCACTTCCACAATGGCATCCGAGGCTATTAAGTAGAAACTGGAAGGTTCAGACCCCTGACCCAGGGGCTGGAGTGAACCAAGCGTCTAGCCGCTGGTCCCTTCCAAGATAACCTTACGCGACTAAAGCGAAGCCCAGAACCATAGGCTTCAAAACTCGGTAGGTGACCCTGGAACACCAACTAGCGTAAGCTATGGTAGGGCCCAGCCGCGAGGCCGCTTGGAACCCATCCAACAGGTAAGTGGAAACCACCAACTGGACCTTAACCACGATTCCAAGCGCGACCATGATCTAGAACGCGCAGCGGAATCAGGGCCGCTATCTTCGACGGAACCGGCCGGAGATAGTGCCTCCGGCACACACTCCCCTCACTCCGCCCGTGGCGGACCAGCGTCCTAGAGGTGAACGCAGAGCGTGGCCGAACTGGTATGATATCATCACGGAAAAGACCAGAACCAAGGTCAAAGACACTACACAACCCAACAGTAACAATCGATCAGGTCCCAACGGTCCGTCAATGACAAACCCAAAAAAAAAAAAAAAAAAAAAATTCACTTGCGCGCAACCCCCTCCATACAACGGGACCGCCCGCAACTAACAGCCAACCCTCAACACTACATTAACACCATCCGACCACCTTGACCCCAGACACGAACCACCGACGACCAGGCGACGTACACGTGACAGACCGCTCACAGGGTCCCGGACCCCCCGCCTATGAGAGACAACCCCCGTGTCCGACCGCCGCAGCGCACAGGCACGTTAAACACGAAACGCATGGCCACCAGACCCATATTTAGCACCTTGGCCTGATTTAAATGTTGAGACTAATGAATATGAGATCAAAGAAAACAGGGTAACACATTTGAAAAGTCTGGCCTAGTAGACGAAGTCTAGCGTTACTACACGGGCTCTTAGGATGAGAGAGTGCGGCAGCAACAAAGTGGTGAGCGACGAAATAACTTTCTCATTGGCATTACTACAAGTCTCAATAAAGATGAGAAAACCGTAGAGCTAAAACATTTACAGGTGTACACCAATATGAAATCAAAATTCCCAATAGTCGCAACAATGAGTCAAATGACAGCTTGAGTGAAATAACACTCAGCATATTTCAAAAAAATGGAAACAAACAAAGTCCAGAACCCACAACTTGTGAACCCCAAAGCTTAGATTACAACACACTCAACCCGACCCTCCACATGTATCCCAAGAAAACCACGTCTGCGGTTATAATTGAATGGCCAAGGGGAATTGTTCTCTTAGGTTTATGGGGGAATATTGCTGTGGGGCCGTGAAGGTGTTGGGAAGTTCGTGGGCTACAAGGAGCCCCCAACCAGCCCGGCCAGGAGAGGTAATTCCTTTCTTCAGCGGAGTGCCAGACTATAGGCTCTCGCTGCCTGCTCTTTCTAGCTCGCCATCATCGAATCAGATAGGAACCATGGCGCCTTGAGAACATGCGACCAAAGCTCCAATAAATAACAGGTATCTGTTATGTTCTGATCCAAGCTAGTGTTTAAAGCTAAAAGCACTCAGGCTAATGTAGCACATAATCTCTAACATCAATTGAGACATATAATACTTACAAAGTAGAACATAATATATCTGCCCATCCATACATCAACACACCGCTATCAATACTCTATTCAAATACCATGTTTCAACTAATACTATTTTACACCTACTGTAGTGTAAAGAAACAGTACATATTCTGTCAGTAAACAGGTCATTATCAATATAGTATAAACAGTAAACCAAAAACAACACCATAGAGTGACAATGTCCAATGTAAATGTACAGCTACAATAAGCTGTGGAGACACCTGACTTAACACCATAAAAACGGAGCTTAGCCACGTACAACATACATTGGAAACTGTACGCCACAGGTGAATTGCATGTACATTTAAAGTCATTGTGGACATAGTCCTGAAACATGCATTAACACTGTGAAATAAATGCTAAACGGCGCTAGCTAAGCGCGCTAATGCTAACGGTAGCATAACAAGACTGCACTCAACCAGTTCGTGATGACTCCCCATTAAACCTTTCCCACTCGGTTTAGGACACGGGTGAGAGACTCCTTCACAAGTTACGGCAGAAACCAGGTAAGTGTCTCGAAAAATGGAAACAAGTTTAATCAAAGAAAATCGAGAGTTTGACAGACCTGTAGCACCCTCTGGCATGTTGCTTCCCCCACAGCCACTACAGACTGATGCTGGTCGCATATTAGAATTCGCGTGAATACTCCACTACGTCCCTGACCGTGATGACGTTCACACAAAGAAACGCAATTGATTTGAGCTAGACAATATATATTAGCTATAAGTGAATGGGGGGATAATATAAAAAGGCTTGGGCTTGGGTCAGAACATTACTAACGCCTGGATTTACACCTGGGTTAATGCGCATACACACGGACTGACCATCGGACCTGCGACGAACAACCGCGGCCAACCATCCCGCCATTGGGACGGTGGAGACCACCTCAACCAGACGGGACTCCCAAGTCCCCCCTCCGGAACACACATGGAACATGCGACGCAGCCAACAAGACACTCGACCCATGACATCCGACCCACCGACTCCATACGAACATGTTTCAGACTACCGCATTGGACAAAAGGGCCCGCCCTGAACATGGCGGACAACCCTACAACGACCCCCCTTCCCACTATCAGTACATGCTACATGGACCACACGACATACGTACCCTGTCGCCTGGGCCGCCCCATATTGGCTGCGGCAACCAACTGACCAGCGACCCGCATGGGAACGCCGGGGACCTCCCCAATCCATGGAGGACAACCCCACGGCACCCCCACCAGACGCACCCAGATACTTGACCCAGGCAACGTACGACCCGGACTAGAGGAGGACAGACCCCTTCCGCGGCCCCCGATAGGTCGAGACCCGCCTCGGACCAACCGACCACCCGACTCTCGACCGGCAGAGCTAGACACATAACCCCTGTGAACACCCGGCCCGGCATGCCTACAAACACCCGTCATACCTCGCGTCGTCACTTCCACGCCGACCGCATACCACACCACTCAGATGACAAAATACACTTATTAGACTCACGTCCAAGGAGAGGTGAATGACTTCATCGAAAGGCAACCAGGCTAAAAACCATACTACAACGACTCTGCAAAGCCCATCCAGCAGAATAACTCAACTACGGAGCCTCCGGACCCTCACGGCACCATGGCGGACAACCCAAGCTCAACAACAGCTTCGGACTCTACTACCACAGTTTGCGACAGGCCCCTTCTTCGCAACCGAACTACAAGGGATGGAGGAAGACACCAAAGGTTGTTTGTTTTGAGTATATTGTGTTTTGATAACTTCTTTAGTGTTCTGGTCTTAAAAATGTCAGCATTAGTAAGATAATAAGTAATCTTTTCTTACATAGTAGCATGTGTTGGAAAGACCAAGAGCGCTCCAAAATTGTTTAGACTTTAGAGAGAAAAACAATCTCATTCACATACTGATATCTGTTGTTTTTTAATTTGACTATAAGGTTGATTTTCAGAACCAAGGGCACACACTGTACAGGGGCACTGAGGCACTGCTGGAGCTGGACACTGGACAGCAAAAAGCCCCACCCAGGCACAGGCACAGATCGAATGAGCAAAGGAAATGCCACCCCTCCTTGCCCCTCCCCCACGCCACTCCAGAACTGAAGCTGGGTGTGGAGAAGAGGCGGGCGCGGTAGCGAGAAGAGGGTGTCTGGAGACGTGAATGGATGGAGCCTCAGGCAGACAGACCCTGAATGAGAGAGTTTGAGAAGTGTGTCCAGTAGTGGAGTTACATCACCACAGTGTGACCTGTCGACACCTACAGGTGGTACATGAGGAGTCTGGAGACACAACCCAAAAATTAACACCCTACATACACACACACACACACACAACACCACACACACACACACACACACACACAACTCACACACACTCACTCACACACCCACACACACACACACGAACACCTACATTCATACACTTCACACATGCACACTTTAGATTTACTTATAGATACATGAAAAAGCAGAACATGAGGAAAGAGCATTTTTACAAAAGTTTACCTCCAATGTAAAGCAAATATATTTTAATCGGTCTATCGCGTCGAGTCTTTACTTGAATCTGCTATTTTTTGAAGACCAGAAATTGTTCCATTCTTGAAATTTCTATATTGTCATGGACTTGAAATGATGTCCTTGTCCTGACATCTTTTGTTTTGATTGTTGATTTTGTACTGTGATGAAGTAGACCATTGGTTAGGATTAGACTCAATGTGACTAACCCATAGAGAGTTAACTATTGCATAACAAGACGGTTAACA